CAGGCCTACTCGGGGGAGCTGAGGCAGGAGGATCGGCTGGAGCCAGGAGTTGAGGGGTTTGCTGTAGGAGCGAGGGCTGACGCCAGCGCCACTCACTCCTAGGCCTGGGGACAGAGCGAGGATCGGTCTCAAAAAAAAAAAAAAAAAATCAAGTTAATGAGATATCAACACTTCTATTATAAAATGACCTTGTCTTAGAGAATCTTTGCCCAGCCTGTAGTTTAACGATCTGGGCACGCTTTTTTGTTTTGTTTTCAGGAGACAGGGTCTTGCTCTGTCACCCAGGCTTGGAGTGCCAGAGGCCACAATCACAGGTCACTGCAGCCTCCAACTCCTGAGCTCAACGATCCTCCTGCCTCAGCCTTCCCAAATAGCTGGGGACCTACAAGCAGCTGGACCACCACACAGCTAGTTTTATCCTATATTACATTTGATAGAGGATGGAGGTCATCCGCATTTTCGCGCTGTGTGTTGTCATGCTGGTCTCAACCTCAACCTGGCCAAGTGTCTGGCAATGCCGGCAGTCGAGCCACTACGCCCGGCCCTCTGGGCACAGTTCAGGTAGGCCAGGCTAAGCTTTGAGGTTTGTTAGGTTAGATGTATTAAATGCAATTTTTTTTTTTTGAGACAGCTACCTCTGTCCCCCAGCTAGAGTGCGTGGCGTCAGCCTCGCTCACCAGTGCCACCCTCAGATCCTGGCTCAGGCGATCCTCCTGTCCCTCAGCCTCCCCGAGGTAGCTGGTGAGTACAGGCATTGCGCACCATGCCCGCGCTGGATTGTTTTCTATGTATTTTTAGTTGGTCAAATTAATTTCTTTCTGATTTATAGTAGAGACGGGGTCTCTCTTGCTCAGGCTGGTTCGCAACTCCTGACCTCTGAGCGATCACGCGCCTGGCTCCCAGAGTGCCGGGATCACAGGCTGGAACCTCGCCCCGCTCTGATTATATGCATTTTGACTTACAATATTTTCATCCTACAATGAGTTTGTCATCTTTATTTCATTGGTCAGGGGGGGGGCGGAGTGAGTTGATAAATTCCTCTGAGACTCTAGCTATATTTTTCATGTTCCTTACCTTCTGTGAGCCCCAAAGCTGGAAACAACCCGGATGCCCCTCCACCGTTGTTAAGGGTGACAGTTGCGGGTCCTGCGGAACCCTACTGGGCAAAACCAGGGAGTGCGAGGTCGGTACAGGGAACCCCACGGAGGGGCTGGGAGGAACTCGAGACGGGCTTGCTCTGCCCGCTCAGGGGGCCTGAGCCCGTGCCCGCGCCTCACGCCTCTGCCCCCCAGATCTGGGCTCTGTTCCGAGTGCGGACCGAAAATAGAGGGCCACTCTTTCCTCATGTTACTCAGTCATTGATTTTATTTTATTTTATTTTATTTTGAGACAGAGTCTGGCTTTTGTAGCCCAGGCTAGAGTGAGTGCCGTGGCGTCAGCCTCGCTCACAGCAACCTCCGACTCCTGGACTCAAGTGATCCTCCTGCCTCAGCCTCCCGAGTAGCTGGGACTACAGGCATGCACCACCATGCCCGGCTAATTTTTTTCTATATATATATATATATATATCAGTTGGCAAATTAATTTGTTTCTATTTACAGTAGAGACGGGGTCTCGCTCTTGCTCAGGTTGGTCTCGAACTCCTGACCTCGAGCGATCCTCCCACCTCGGCCTCCCAGAGTGCTGGGATTACAGGCGTGAGCCGCCGCGCCCGGCCGAACATCTTTCATTGCAGATAGAGAAAAACCCAGCCGTGTCGGGGGCGGCAGGGGTGCAGCACCTGTGGCTGGGGGGGCTAGAAGCAGGTGGTGGGATGAAATGACTAGTCCTATGCAAATGAGCAGGCCTGAGCTCCTTTGCATACAAGGTAGTCCAGCCAATCAGAGCCCAAGACCATTAGCCGATGGCCTGGGATTGGCTGGCCTCCTGTGAGGTTCCATCCCAGAGGGTCCGTCCTGTCCAGGGCTGACCCTGCAGTCAAAGGTTTGTCTCTCGTAGATTGTCACCATCACATCCACTGCGGGGGGGCCAGGAACTAGTCCCCTCCAGCTCCTTCTGCCCCAGGAAGACCACGCGGTCCTCTTCGGCGACCAGTAAGCCAGGGGGCTTCTTGGTTCCAAGGGACAGTTCTTCAACACCCTGGGGGGGAGGGAACAGACAGGCCCCATCAGAGACTCTGTCCCCACTCTGTGTCAGCTCATGTCCCAGACAGGGCGGGGTCTGCTGGGATGCACAAGGTACCCCCGTGCCCAGTGCCTCGGCCAGTCCTGTCCCTCTGCCTCCAAAACCTCCACCCCCGTGGCACCCGAAGCCCCGGCCGTCAGCGCCTGCTCCGGCGCCTGCTCTAGCTGCCCCCTCCAGTCTCTGCCTGTTCCCCTTCTAAACAGGAAGCATGTCCCCCGGGGCTGCTGGAGGGAGCCTTAAAATCCTTCCGCCAGTGGCCGGGCGCCGAGGCTCCCGCCTGTCATCCCAGCACTCTGGGAGGCGGAGGCGGGCGGATTGCTCGAGGTCAGGAGTTCGAAACCAGCCTGAGCAAGAGCGAGACTCCGTCTCTACTATAAATAGAAAGAAATTAATTGGCCAACCAATATATATAGAAAAAATTAGCCGGGCATGGTGGTGCATGCCTATAGTGCCAGCTACTCGGGAGGCTGAGGCAGGAGGATCGCTTGAGCCCAGGAGTCTGAGGTTGCTGCGAGCGAGGCTGACGCCACGGCACTCACTCTAGCCTGGGCAACAGAGCGAGACTCTGACTCAAAAAAACCCAAAAAACCCTTCGGCCAAAATCCTCCCCCCCCCCCAACGTCAAGCCTGCTCCTGATTTTCCGCAGGCTCCGCTGCCCCCTAGGTCCCCCGGCTGCCTCCCTCTCACTCGGGGTGAACCTCCCAGCGGCCGCCCCCGACCGTCCTGGCTGCAGCCGCTCCCGGTCAAGCCTCCCGCTTGATCATCTTCCTTGTTTCTCTCTTTAGCTTTCACCCGCCCCTGCCACAGGGTGGGCCCAGACCCCAGCTCAGAGCAGAGCGGGGTGCGCAGCAGGTGCTCAGTGAATGAGGGGGTGAATCCAAGGCAGCGACAGGCCTGGGGTCAGCTTCCCCCAGGGACGGCGTTTCCCGGACTCCGGGAATTCACGGAGCAACCACGCGGCTGTGGCCGAAACCCGCCACCCTCTGCTGCTGCTTGTGTGGGATGCTCTCTAGGCCGAGTCCCTTCGGAATCAAGTCATTTGGCCGTGAGAAGGGACTTGACGTCCACTAATATTCTAAGGGCAGGCCAGCCTCGCCTGCCGAAGTTGGGAAGTGACTGTAAAAACAGCCACCGTGGGAACGAGCAGCTCACTCCTTGCAAAAGGCCACGGCAGGACCCGATCCAGGACGAATCAGCCCCCCAGGGAGGCTGGGACCCACGGGGGTCCCTCACGTCCTTCCCGAGTTACAGCCACGCCCCAAAGCCGCCCCCTTGCCTCTCTGGCTCTGGGGACCCAGCCTGAGACTGACCTTCACCAAGCTGTCGTCCAGGGCGGCGACTTCCTCCTTGGGGGCCACTGAGGCCGTCTGCCGCGCCAGGTCCCACCACAGCAAGCCGGGGCGCAGGGCGCTGCGCTTGGTGGGGCCTGAGAGGCGGGACGGGGGGGAGGGGGGTTAGCGAAGGGGCCGCGGGGGCTGGAGGCCCGGCCCTGGGGAGGAGAAAGGAGAGCCCTGCGCGGCGACGGGGTTTGGTGGGGTCCAGTGCCACCTCCCACAGCAGCGCGCTGGGGACAGCAGCGGTTGGAGAGGTGCTTGGGCTCCCGGGGGCGCGGTCAAGGTCAAGGCTTGGCTGAGCGGCGTCCCCACAGGAAGTGGGGACAGGGGCTGCTGTCACTACCGATCCCTCCTGGTGTCCTTCCCTTTCTCCGTGCACTGGGAGCTCCCCAGGGGCGCAGGCGGCTGTGCGCTCCGCGGGAGGGCGTTTCAGCACCAGGGACAGCGCCGCGCACCCGCCCGAGGCCGCTGGGGGGGCTCTCTCCCCAGGGAGGGGGGGGCGCTCAGTCTCTGCCTCTGCGGGCAGGGCCAGCCGCGAAGGGAAGGGACGCTGCTCACGGGGCGCGCATGGGGCCCGCGTGCAGCGGCCATCCCGGGGACGGGCGCGCGCTCCCTCCGCGCCTGGCGGCGCACCGACTGGCAGACCGAGGCGGCGGGGTGGAGGGGTGGCCCGCGAGCGGGCACGTGCCCCGCTTACCTGTCAGGCAGCTGACCAGGGCCCCGCACAGCACGGTGGCCAGCGTGCCCAGCGCGCCGTAGTACAGGTAAGAGATGGCGTAGAAGCTGTCAGCCAAGGCGGGGCGGCCGAGGTCCGTTCCCGAGCTGGCGGGGGGCGAGGTGGGCGTGAGAGGGGCTTTCTCCTTCGCCCCGCGTCTGTGTCCGAGAGCCACCCACTGCCTTCCGTCCCCTCGGTCACGGCCCAGCGCAGCGCCCCATAACCGCACACCCGGACGCCAGCGGCGGCCCCGGGCAGTCCCCACACACGGGCAGAGGGGCCTTCGCTACAGTGTAACTCGGACCACCTCCGGCCTCTGCCTGTCACCCTCTGTGGCTCCCTATTGCCCTCGGAATCCAACCGGATTAAACTCTCAGAAGAAAATATGGGTGTGAGCGGATTATTGCCAAATTCACGGGCGTGCGCCAGGCAATACTTTCCCAGATGTGACACCAAAGGCGACTATACAAAGGCAGAACACTATGTAAATTAGAACTGAACCACAAACAGGCAAGCGACCCACTCTCTTCTACACCCGTTGTGCAGAAAGGAGAAAAAAGTTAAAAAAAAAAAAGAAAGAAAAATAGGACAAATGACCCACATAAAAAAACGGGCCAAGGGTTTGAATAGACATTTCTCCGAAAACAATACGCAGATGGCCACGGAGCACAGGATAGGGTCCACGCCACCATCAGCCATCTGGGAAATGCAAACCCAGATGACAGTGCGACCCCACTCCGCGGCCACAGGCATGAGGCCCGCGAGTGTGGGCGGCGGGGGCGTGGCCAGGGGCGTGGCCGGGGGCGTGGCCTCGTGCGCTGCCGGCGGGGAGCGTAGGACGGTGCAGGGGGCGCGCGACCCGGTCTGGCGTCCCCCGAAAAGTCGAGCTCGGGATGCCCACGCGGCCCGGCGACCCCACTCGTAGGTGTGTGGCCCGCAGGAATTAAAGCGTGTCCACACTGGCACAGAACTCGGACACACACGTGTCCGGCACTGCTGACGATGGATCGCCGAAGAGTGGAAACAGCGCAGACGTCTGCCACCCGGTGCGCGCGTGGCTGGACACTACGTGGCCGGTCCCTGCCACGGAATATTTCTCAGCCGTGAAAAGGGCTGAAGCTCTGCTACCACGTGGGTGACGGGCTTTCAAGACACGACGCTGAGACAGAAACGGCCACATGTTTTGTTATAGGACTCCAGTCACACGAAATGTCCAGGACAGGCAAACCTGCGGAGTCGGGCAGCGGAGTAGTGGCGGCCGGGGCTGGGGGAGGGGCAGTGGGAGGGATTGCTGATGGGGGCGGGGCTTGTTTTCCGGGTGACAACGTGGAGTTTTGGTGGTGATGGTTGCACAAATCTTGTGACTATCCCAAAAGCCACTTCATTTTATTTTTTGAGACAGAGCCTCACTCTATGGCCCAGGCTGGAGTGCAGTGGCGTCGGCCTAGCTCACTGTAGCCTCCAGCTCCTGGCCTCAAGGGATCCTCCTGCCTCAGCCTCCCGAGTAGCCGGGACTACAGGTGTGCGCCACCACGCCCGGCTAAGTTTTGTAATTTTTTTGTAGAGACTGCCGCCTCTCGATTATTGCCTAGCCTGGTGGTCTTGAACTCCTGGCCTCAAGCGATCCTCCAGCCTCAGCCTCCCAAAGTGCTGGCATTACAGGCGTGAGCCGCCTGGCCCAGCCTAAAAGTCACTTTTTCATTTGTTAATGTTGTGGCAGGTGAATTGTATCTCAAGAAAAAACGGGATCCAATTAAATTCCTCTCGCTTGACCATGTCGCCTACCCCTCCCTTGCTCCATTAACCCCGCCCCAACCTCAGAGTGGCTGGACCATTCCAAACTCAGGCTGGCCCCAGGGCCTTTGCACTCGCCCTTCCCGCAGCCGGGAACGGGACGCGCTTTCCCGGCCAGGCTGGGTCCCGTTGGGAGCTCAGGGCCAGGAGCCCGGCCGGACCACACCCTGCCACCCCCCTGCTTTTTCTCACCTGCTGTTGAGGGCCTGGGCAGCGGGGAGCAGCGGGCCCGGGAGGCCCGAGGCGTTGGCCGAGGGAGCCAGGCAGCGGGCGGCGGAGGACGGCAGGACCCCCATGGTCTGTGCGCTGGGCGGGTACAGCGTGGCCCCCACGGCCACCCACAGGGACAGCGCCAGGCCGGCGCCCAGCCCGGCGAGGACGCCCTGGGGGCGGAGCCGGCGTCAGGGGAGGGGCGTCCCGGCCCCGCCCTCGCCCCGCCCCCGGCCCGCCCCGCCCCCGCTCACCGGCGTGTTGCTCGCGGGCAGGAACATGCCCAGCACGAAGGCTCCCAGCAGCGGGCCGCTGATGACACCCATGACCGTGAAGGAGCCCTGGGAGAGCCGGGGGGCGACAGTGGTGGCCCGGCCCCCACGCCAGGGGCGGCCACCCGCACCCCCACCTCCCGGTCCCGCGCCGGGTGGCTGCGGGAAACCCCGGCCTCAGGGGTCGCAGAGAATCCAGCCTCGGCTCCTCCGTGGGAGCCAGACCCCACCTCTTGGGGAGACCGCAGCGCGGGAGGGGCGGGGCTCACCTGGAGGACGCCGCCCCCCAGCAGGGAGGACAGGGCCGCCACGGTGAGACAGGCCGAGCCGTAGATGATCGCTGGGGCGGATGGAGACAGCACAGTCAGCCGGGACCCGCCGCCCCGGCCTCCCGCCCCGGCCCCCCGCCCCGGCCTCCCGCCCCGGCCCCCCGCCCCAGCCTCCCGCCCCGGCCTCCCGCCCCGGCCTCCCGCCCCGGCCTCCCCTCAGCTCACAGAGCCCCTTGGAGACAATCACGAGGGTCCTGGGTGCCAGGTTTGGCAGCCGTGGCTTGACGAGGTCTTCCATGGTGACAGCAGCCATGGCGTTGATGCTGGTGGACGCCGTGCTGGGGGTGGGGCAACACGGCGCGGGGGCCTCAGGACCCAGAGACACTGGCCACGCCCCTCCCAGGGCCCCAGGACAGAGGAGACGGTCACCGAGGCCCCAGGACAGAGGAGGTGTCCACCTGCTCCCTGCCCCGCGGACCTCAGACCCCCCACTAGGGACGCCTGTGACCCAGGACAGCCGGACAGACGGGCGGGCTCCGGTTACGGAGGGAGGCGCGCCAGGGACCCCATCACAGCAGGAGGGGGACAGGGGGACGGTGGGGGGGCATGTGGCCGGAAGTCCCAGAAGGCTTGAACCCCCGGAGGGCAGCGGCGGCCGCGCCGGGCGCTCAGTGAACGCGGGTTTTGTTTCGGGGAGGGGGGAGCAGGTGGGCCCTGCCAGGCAGCAAGGGGACACCTACGCTGGCGTCCCCGCGCCCAGAGCGTGCCTTCTGCCCCAGCCTGCCCGCGCTGCCCACTGGGGACCGAGGATGGGCACGCGTCCGGGACAAGCCAGTCCCCGGGCATGGCCGGCGGGGTGCGGTGCGAGGGGGGGGGGGCGGGGGGTCCGGCGAGGCTGGCGTGGCAGGCTGCTCACCTGAGGGTCCCGCTGTAGGCGCAGGCCAGGAAGAGCCCGGGGACGCCCGGCAGGCCACCGAAGATGTCCAGCACCAGCAGTGGCATGTACTGGGGGGGTGGGCGAGGTCAGCCAGGACAGCAGTGCCGCCCGGCCCGTCCCCAGCACCCGGCCGGTCCCCCGCGTGGACCCCAGGACTGTCACCCTGGACTGTCACCCCAGGACTGTCATGCCAGGACTGTCACCCAGGACTGTCACCCTAGGACTGTCATCCCAGGACTGTCACCCAGGACAGTCACCCCAGGACTGTCATCCAGGACTGTCACCCAGGACTGTCACCCCAGGACTGTCATCCCAGGACAGTCACCCCAGGACTGTTATCCCAGGACTGTCACCCCAGGACTGTCACCCTAGGACTGTCATCCCAGGACTGTCACCCAGGACAGTCACCCCCAGACTGTCACCCCAGGACTGTCACCCCAGGACTGTCATCCCAGGACTGTCACCCTAGGACTGTCATCCCAGGACTGTCACCCAGGACAGTCACCCCCAGACTGTCACCCCAGGACTGTCACCCCAGGACTGTCTGTCACCCAGGACTGTCACCCCAGGACTTGTCACCCTGGACCTGTCACCACTGGGACTGCCACCCCAGGAAGTCACACCCAGGATTGTCTCCAGGGACAGTCCACCTGGACTGTCACCCCAGGACAGTCACCCAGGACCGTCATCCAGACCGCACCCGGGACGTCACCCCAGACCGTCACCCAGGACGTCACCAGGACTGTCACCCAGGACGCACCAGGACGTCCACCCAGGACTGTCACCCCAGGACTGTCACCCCAGGACCGTCACCCAGGACTGTCCACTGGGTGTGTGCTGAGCCCCGAGACCCAGTGAGCAGGACGCGTTCACCCCGCTTGGCTGTGAGGACGGTGAGGCGGGGAGGCCAGCCTCCATCTGAGGTTGCACAGTCGGGCAAGAATCTGACCCCAGGAGGAGGGGGGGGGGGGACGGGCAGAACGCCACCGGGACAGGCCTGGGTCCCGCCGCCTGCCCGCCTCCCCCGCGGGCTCAGGCCGGCCCGCTTCTCCCTCAACCTCCTCTCACGCCTCTGGTCTGCAACACGGAGCTGGGCGCGTGTTGCTGCCAGCGCCTTGGGGCTTGATGGGGAAGCCAGGTGCTCCTGAGGGAACAGCATGAGGCACAGAAGGAAGGCGCTCGGACGTGGGAGCTGTCGTTATCATCATTACGAGACTCCGTCATTCCCTGGGTTTGCCACCGCGGTCCCCTCCCCTCTTGATGTGTGTGGGGTGTCTCTGTGACTCCGGTCCAGCGTGCGCTCCCCTGCTCACCCCACCCCCCCAGCCCGGGGCTGCTCCCAGACTCGTTCTCCCAGGCCCTCTGCGCTCTCTCCTGCCTCTGGACCTTCCACTCGCCTTCCCTTCAGCCAGGAGGCGGCTCAAGGAGGCCTCCACCTGGTCCCTGAGGCCAGGCTCCAGGAGGCCTCCCACCTGTCCCTGAGGCTGGGCTCCAGGAGTCGCTCCCACCCGGTCCCTGAGCTGGGCTC